AAATGACCATGACTGTATTTTAATAATAGATTACCTTTTTGCTCCTAGGGATGACTTATAAGAAACTCCCATTGATAATGTTGATCTAATTTGGTTTATAGACAGGTCTTAATTAAAGGATAAGCAAGGATATTACTGTGCTGGTTATGCAATAATATCCTCAGTGGAAATAATTGAGAGTTCTTATTTACCAGAAATAAAATCAGAACAGCAAGCCAAATTAATTGCTTTAATTCGAGCTTGTCAATTTGCTAAAGACATGGTTGCAAATATTTATACTGACAATTGTTATGCTTTTGGAGCAGCACATGACTTTGGAATGCTATGGAAACATTGGGGATTTTTAACCTTTTCAGGGCAACCTATAAAAAATGGAAAACAGGTTGCAGAATTATTAAATGCTATATCACTACCAAAACAATTGGCAATTATTAAAATACTGATGCATTCTGATTCTGACACTTTAGAAGCTAAAGGAAATCAACTTGCTGATGCAGCTGCTAAGCAGGCAGCTTTAAAAACTTGTTCTTTTCAGCCTCAAGAATGCCCTCTCCTCTCTGTTAACCTTGCTAACCCAGTGAAAGATTTCCTTCTATAGGCTCAAGAAATTGCCATGGAAGAAGAGAAACAAATATGGCAACAAAAAGGGAGAATTTTTGACCTCGACATACAAGTGTGGTTTGGGCCCAATAAAATATCCAAAGTGCCTATTGGAACACAATTGCCACTGCTCCAGCATATACATCAGTTAACCCATTGGACACCTGAGAAGATGATTTTGTGGGGAAAACAATATTTGGGAAACTTTCTCCCACAGTGGCTCATAAAACCTATGCTCTCTGTACTATATGTCCTAAATATAATCCTGGGAAACCACTTCATTAGTTACAAGGCTGCTTTTCCCTTCCTAAGGGACACTTCGAGGTATGGCAATTGGACTTTGTTCAAACGTCACCATCTAAAGGATATAAATATGTCTTAGCAATGATTTGTATGTTTTCACATCAGGTCAAGGGCTTCCCTTGCAGAATAGCAATGGCTTTAACAGTAGGTAAATTGTTACTAGAAAGAGTAATTCCTGTTTGGGGAATTCCTGTTGAGTTACACAGTGACAGGGGAACTCATTTCACTGGACAAATAATTAAATCTATTTGCGACATTTGGCCAGTAATGCAGCACTTTGTGCTTATCATCCCTGATCCTCAGGGTGGGTGGAAAGAACTAATGGCACAATCAAAGCTCAATTGGCAAAACTTTGAGAAGCATTTAATCTCTCATGGCCCAAAGCTCTTCTGTTAGTGCTCTTCAATCTTAGATCTACACCCTCTGGTAAACATCAACTGTCTCCTTTTGAAATAAAAACAGGATGGCCTATGCAATTAGATAAAGGAATGTATGAACCGACTTTGTTCAAAGGAGATATCTTGTGTTATTGTCCAAGCTTTATTAAGACACTAGAAGGAAATGAAAAATTGGTAGCAGATTCTTTTCACAGTGAGCTCCTGGGCGACAAAGACCTTAAGGATCACAGACTACAACCTGGAGATTTTGTTTAATGAAAGAGACATCAAGTCAAAGACTCTTTGCAGCCTCATTGGAAAGGATCATACCAGGTATTTTTAGCCAATCCATTCACTGCAAAATTGAAAGGCATAGACTCATGGATTCACATTTCTCATTTGAAAAAGGCCCCTCCTCCTGAATGAATTTCAACTCCTGTTACTGACACCTGGCTTAGACTGACTAGGACAAGTACTACCCAAACCAGGATGAGAAGAAGCCAACATCTGCTGTAGACAGCTGTCCCAAGATCTTGGGCCAGGCCTGCATTCCCAATCTTACACCGCCTCATTTAAACCCTTATAATGCTTAAGCTGTATATCCATTTATAATTGCTGTAATAATCATATTCTTGAGTACACTAGCAATTTAATACTTGTACGTGATGCTAGTCAGCTTCCTTGTTTTTTAGATTGCCTTTTTGGTGCCTTTTAATTATTGTTCCTATAACTCTAATATTTTCTATCCCTCTAGACTAAAATAGATCAGAGCTTAAGTATAAAAATCTTTTAATCAACTACCAGAATGTCATTTAAGGTTTTCTGATACTATTGTTGTTTATTCAGACCACATCTGAATGGACCTCTAATGGCCATGTCTTCTTACAGTGGGCTCACTCCTTTGCTTTACATAAAATCAGTCCAATTGTTGGATATGTGGCCAGCTTCCCCTTTGTAGCACATCTGGGTTAACTTGGTGGGTAGCTCCCTTTCAACGTACAGATTGGAAAGCTCTAAAACAATTTATTATGATAGAGAGGTTGAATTCCAATGTTCACAGTTCATCTGATATTACTAATTATGATCCTGAAATCTGGCCAATGGCCAATACCATCAATGTTACAGGGCATGGTTATTCCTTTTATGTTGCTCAAATTACTCAATTATCCTGAAAACTTGCTGCTAAACGAATGAAATTGGATTCTACACCTACAGGAGGTTTCACAAAATCTGGGATGGATTTGTTTGATTTACTCCTAATTATAGGTCTTTAAGTACATTGGCACCTTTATGCTGGGAACAGAGGGACCATTCCAAACAAACTTATACTACTGTACCTAAACCATGGGATGGATACGCCTAGAATGGGGTCAAAATAGTATAATTGTTAAGGAAAGTGATTGGTTTGGAATAGACTCATCTCGAAGGCCGGGCATTTTTTTATTATTTTTGTTATTCTTGTTAAATGACTTCGAACTTGCTTATCCACCCATCAAATAGGAAGACGTATCTTTTTCTTCTCCAATCACAGCTTGCTTCCTGTATAACCCTAACCCTAATCGCACCTAATCATTACTGCTACTTGCAGATGTAGTACCGGCCTGTGGATTTCCTTAAGGGAAAACAGAATTGGCATGTGGCCAGCTCTCCTCTGGACTGTGAGAGTGGGAGTTTTATCCTGGGTTCCCGTGGGAGTTGCAGGCCCTCTGCATACAGCTTCTACCATAGCAAAGCCCGTATATTATGTGTGAGACAGGACTTGCCCAGGAAACCAGCATGTGAGTGTTCACTACACAGCCCAGTCCAGGTTACCTGCCCTGGCAGAATGTGAGCGTGTCTCATTTGGCCAGGGATGTATCTGGCTTCCCAATCCATCTGTTACAGGCTCTTAACATCAGCCCTGATATGACTTCCCCCACATTGAACCCAGCGTATACGGGCTTAAAACTAAAACCCACCTCCCCCTTTCCTGCTTCTCTAGCTCCACTCATATGTAAATACCTGCTTCTTTAAATGTTGACTCCTTGAGCTTTATAACTAAATGGGAGTTACAAATTGCTAAAAGCCCGGGTGGCCTGGTGTTGGAGGCACACTAAAGTTGAGCTAATCATGTGTCCTTGAAGTTTGCCAGGAAAGCCGCTGTCTCAACAATATCAAGGAGCGGAGGCTTCCTAGACCTCAACTCCTCGACTCCCTGCACTGGAACCTGCCTCAAACAAGAAGAGGAGACAATGGCGAAGGACGCCCACCCCTGCCATCCTCCTATCTCAACCCCCCCGCCGCCCCCCCGCCCCGGCCTTGCTGCAAGCAGCCTCTCAAGGCTGGTGGAAAAGCGCTGACCTGCACAAGCTCCCCTCCCCAAAACCCCAAATAAAAATCCCTACCCATTCCTCATCAGGGAGCTAGCAATTTTTGAGGCAAAAGCCCTTGCTTTGCTCCCTGTACCTGGCATAGTAAACACCTTTCCTCTTCCACTCAAGACTCTGTTCTCATTATTTGGATTGGCATCGGGTTCAGAGACTGAGCTTTCAGTTACACATCTATTTACTGCATCCTTATGTAATTTTGTTGGGGTTCAAGGTTGGGTGAAGGGCCCAGGAGCCAGCGCTGCTGCAGTGGCCCCTGTACAGTGGTCTCAAAACGTTTACTGGAGACCAGTCCTTGCATGATCATTACCAGTGCCCAGCTGAGGGGCGCCCAGAGGGCACCAGAGGGTCACAGGCGAGGTCACTGACTAGATCCTGCGGAGCACACAGGGACTCTCTCCAAGACCCAAGTTCACGCCCAAGTACCTCTCGCAGCTGAGGGAGCTTCAGTGACAGTCGACCTTTCACCGGGGTAAAGGCTAAAGCTTTCAGGGAACATCTGAGCCTGACTTATCAGAAATCTAGGGACTTCCGAGAGGCAGTGCCCTGCACCACCTCAACCTCCTTCTCTCCTGTGGCCTTGCAATGTCACCACTACCTGGCCGAGGCTCCGGGGTGCCTGGGGCCTATCTCCTGCCCATTGCCCTTCCACTCCCTCAATAAAGAACTCTGCTAGACCTCTGTGAATCCAGACATCAGAGCTAAGTGTCTGCAATTGTCCAGCCTGAGCCCTTTCTGAGGATGATAAGTTAGGAGGAGGGAATCCTTCCTGCAGCCAAAAGAAAGGCAAAGAAGGCCTTTGGCCAGCCCTGGCCCCTCGAACCTGCAGGCTGCTTGCCTGGGCCCCTGAATCTGCCGTCAGTTTGCTCTTCAGTTCTTTACAAAATGACTTCAGGGAACAGGCAGGGACATCTGGCTCAGTGTGACACTCGCAGCAGGGAACCCGTCTTTGGCTGGGCTGGGCCCTGTTCTAGGATGGCCTTGGTTGTCTGACAGTCACACTTAGATGGGGAGCCTTACTCCAGGGAGATGGGTCTGCATGTCTCCCATCTGTAGGGAGGGGAAGGACCCGGCAATAGGCTGCTCAGGGGGAATTAAGTTAAATCTGAGCAAAGAGTTACACTTTAATCCAGTAAGGCCACCCTAGGACCAATGGACAGAAGCTTTGGGAAAATTTGGGACCAGGGGCAGAAAAGTATTTTTTTTCTCCTTCATATCTTTGAAAAAATTGTTTTTCCCTTATGAAATAGAGAAAGTGACCAACTCTTTCCCCTTCTTCCCAAGCTTGCTTTCTGTTCTCCTTGAAGAAGGCTAATCTGGTGATACCGTATCAGGACCTTCAGGTAGTACTCACGCGATTCCAGGCGAGTGGTTTTAAAGACCTTGCTCTTTGCTTTCTGTTAGTTGACGCTTGACCGTGCTGTTTAGAGGCTTCCTCCAGGGTACTTCGTGAGTTCCGGAGCCCTAGACGTGAGAGCAGTTCTTACATTAATCCTAATTAATTCCCTTGATATAGGACCTGCTTAAGGCAGGTCAGGGATCAGCTTACACCTAAATGCTTAATAATGGAAGGGGGAGGTGAAGGAAGTAACCAGTGAAAGCCCTGGTCTTTATCCACCTATCTATAGCAGAGCAGGCCTTTGTTTACAAATTGTTCTGTCCTATGGTTGCCTATTTCCTGGTGCCTTGAAACAATTTTGGAATTACAAGGAATAGTGACTAAATGGCATGTGCAGCATCACTTTTCCTCCTGTCCCTGTAGGGTAGGCCAATAATTCATCCGGGAACTCCTTCCCAATGAACCCAGATGTGTCCTCAGAATCTGCCTTAACACACAGAGAGTCATTTCCAATTGATAAGAGTTGCTAAAGGTAAACCCTGTTTGCTGTCTCTGGTTTTTAGTATACATGATATTCTGAAAAAATAAAAGCCAAAGGTTAAAAATGCTGTGGAATTCTTTTTTTGTTTAGGATTTCCATTTACTGATAATTACTAAGCATTTTTATTTTGTTTTGCTTTAGTTGAACTGCCTGGGTGCGTCACACAATTCTGCCATCATACAATGTCCTTGTGGACCTGGCACGGCTATACTGCACATTTGCTCAAGTCTGGTTGTTGTTATTTATTTCATAAAGTGATAGCTACTTTTATCTTAATGTGATTTTACATATGTTTTATCCTATTTGCAGTTTAAGTGGCATTTTTTCTGATTTTTGTTATATTTGAGAGGCTTACATGTTAATTTTTGCCCGTTTATGGCAATTACCATGCAATGAACCTGAGGCACCCCAAATAAATTAAGCCAAACAATAAACAGCTGACGCTTATTAAAGGCTAACATATATTGGGTCCAATTTCTAAGTGCTTTACTTGTGTTAGTATAATTTTAAAATCCTTACCACAGTCCTGCCGGTCCTATCATCTTTCTCATTTTACAGATAAGGAATCTAAGTCCTAGAGAGCTTAAGTAGCCCCCCAGAGTCCCACTGTTGCTAGGGGATTTGAACTGAGTCGGTTGAGGTTCACGGCCTCTTAGTCACGATACTACTCTTCCCACAACAGAAAGAGAGGCTTCAGCTGTGGAGGTGACTCGTGCACTCTGATGCCAGGATGCTCGCTCTGAATACACCGAGTCAGAGTCATTAGAGCTGTTGGATTCTCCATATTCTGAAGCTACGACTTCAGATTATGAAATTAGACTAAATTACGAAATTAGCAAAGTTATAAGTGTCTAAAACTATATTTTAACACTTTATGTGTTAAACTGATCATCTTAAAAGCTTACAAGTTTTATATATATATATGTATGCATATTACTACATTTAAAAAAATGCTAAACCAAGTGTCTTCTGAAGATATTTACTCTAAGCTGTAAAACTTTAAATTCTAAAATGCTGTGTTTGATGAGTGACACTATTAATACTCACCACCTCGAGACCTACACCCAGAACTTAAATCACGGTTATCTGAATGATGTGTGTTTAATTGTGAATCACAAATAAAATTGTATTGCTTCTGCTACCCACGTACAAATACCATAGGGCTTCTAACTGGCCTAGCCAATGGGAAGGATGGCAGAATCGTAACAGGGAAGTGGCCAAAGAAGGCTGGACTGCTGTTCACATCTGGACCACAACAACTGAACATAGTAAGCAGGTTTGTGGGTACTGTGGAGGGAAACACAGAGCTTAGGCACTGTCTCAGATAGTTCAAAACTAGATAACTATGGAGTCTTTTGGTCTGAACTCTCTAGGTAGATAGACGGTCCTTATTTGTCTATGCATCCATCCATGCATGCAAACAACCATGCATTGTCCAACAATTAGTTACTGAGCACCTTCCACGTGCTAGGCACTGCTTAAGTGTTGGTGTTATGGGATGGAAGCTTACCATCTGGTGCAGGGAGACAGATAATAATAAAATAATAAAATTGTAGCAGGTGCTATGTTATGAAGAAAATAAGGAGAGTTAGTGATAGAAAGCAATGAGATGTTGGCCAAGAAGCCGAGAGTCATGGAAATGCTCTCTGAGGTAGAGGAATTTAGACCTCAAGGAAGCAGGCTGGCAAAGAGCCTTGGCAAAGGAATGCCAGGCAGAAGAGGCCACAGGTCCCAGAGCTTGACCTACTCCTGAAATCAATAGGAGGCCCAAGCTTGGGTGTGATGATCAGGGGCAAGTGGTAGGGGCAAGACCAGCAAGGTAGGTGGGGCTCAGGTCAAGCAGGCTTTGGGACTGAAAGTGAGTTTGGGTTTTATTCTACATCAAGAGGGCTTAGACCCCCTGCTTAAACAGGGCTTTGATTTATGCTGGACACAGAGCATACTTGGTGCTGTTGGAAAATGGTTTGTAGGGAACAGGAATGCCAATAGCAAGAGCAGCTCAGAAACTCTTCTGCAGTCAAATAATTGCTCACTGGAATTTATTCAGGCTTGGAGTAATGCCAAAAAGACATTCGCTTCATAGACACATTCTTGATGACAAGTTTCGGCAACGGTTGTTGGAACATGTACTCTGGCTAATACTATCACAGAACCGTGTTAAGCATGGAGAAAGAACCAGTCACAGATCCCACCGGCCTTACCCATTGGCCCCCTTTCAGTGAATACACCTGTTGGAGTGTATTGATTTACCATTTGGACACCTGCAGAGATCATTTACCTCTCTCCATAATAGGCGTGTTTTCGGGCAAAGCCAGACTCGCTGCTCAGTGACCTGGGAGGCTTAACAGGATTTCATCATTGGTGGAAATAAGCTCAATCGTGTGCAGCCACAAAAGGATTAAAGAATTGTTTACCTTCTCACGAGGAAGCAGAGCACATGTGCGAGCCTGTGAACAGATGTATGGGCACATGGGCTGTGGGGAGCAGCCTTGTCGGGGCCACCCGCTGACTTCCTCCTTCCTTACCACCTGACAAGCAAAAATGCATTTGGGTGAAATTCACCTCTCAGAAAGGCACAGAACTATAATTTAAGGTAATTCTGTATTTGAAAACAAAACAAAAAACTTTTTAGGGGAGAAAAGTCAACTTTTCTGAGATGGATTCCCATAGAAAGGAAATAAAAGATGACACAGTTCCATGGTCTAATGAACATGTTAGCTTTAATTGAAAATTGAAAGTAAGGAAAAATTTAAAAGAACAAATGGATATAGGATAGAAAGTAACATCTTTCTCCTTTCCATTTCTACTCTCAGCTCTTCTCTTCAAAGGTAAAAAATTGTCAACAGTCCCCTTTTGCTATTAAAAAAGTCATGCAGATGTGTCTGTAGGTCTACAATCTATCTGCCTCTCTACTTACCTATCTGTCATCTATCATTTCTCTATTTTATTTTGTTTACCCAAAAGAGATCATCCTAAACAAACTGCTCTGTAAGTTGCTTTTTAAAAAAAATTTACTACAGTCTATAGATCTTTCCATCTGAGGACTTACAGGTGTTCCTTCTCATCCTCTCTTTTGAAAGGTTGCTCTTTATCCAATGCTTAGATGCAGCATAACTTATTTGAGCAGTCCTCTAAGCTGTAAAGGAGTTTTCGGACATGTGTTTGAAAAATTTAACGACCAGATCTGCACTGTGAATTGCAGGCCAGGGGAATGTACGTTTAACATTTTGATACTTAAAGCTAAATTTTCCTCCAAAAAGGAGTTCACTCCCAAGACTGGGTGAAAGGCCTGCTTCCTCACCTGCCTCCTGGCACCTGGTGTTCTCCACTTTTGGGATACTTAGTCTGTGAGGAGAAACATACCTTGTTTTGAATAGAAGTCATTTGTGTCTAAGAGCAAATATCCTTTGGTAAATTTCCTGGCTTTCTTTCACATTTCTCTTTTCTTTTATCTGCCTGTTCATATATGTTGTCCATTTTCCTGTTGAGTTGTTTTTTTCCTATTGTTTTACAGAGGTTAATAAAGTTAGCTCTTTGTAGTTAACAAAGTTAGCTATTTGTTATCACATATGTTTCAGTTTTGTTTCCCTAGTTTGTCATTTGTCTTTTAACTTTGTGGCATTTCTCTTCTGAAAGAAAAATAGGTAAAATTTATGTGTTCAAAGTTGTCAGTATTTTCCTTTATGGTTTCTGGGTTTTGTGTTCTGCTTTACAAGGGCTTCTTTATTCTGAGATTATAAATACATTACTCTCCAATCCTTTTATTTCTTTTACCTTTGAATCATTGATTCGTTAGGAATTCCTTTTAATGGGAAGACTGAAGTAAGACTTCAGCTTTATTTTGTTTAAGTGTTAGCCAGTGATTTGAATATATTTACCATGTAATATATCTTTTCCCCACTGATTTGAAATGTTACCTCTATCATAATCTAAATTTCAACATGAATTGGGAACGCTCTATTTTTTTCCAAAAGTCTACTTCTTCTTAATTGTAAGCCTTATATTTTATGAATTGTCATAATGTGTTCTATTTCTGGCCCGGTTCTTTCTCATCACTCTTATTTTTCAGCATTTCCAAAGCTATTCTTATGTGTTTATAAAATTTTTTGGTCAAATTCTTAAAAATAAAAAGCAAAGAAAAAGGAACACAAAAAAGAAATCATGATAATATTTGAAACTGTGAAAACTGCATTAAACTTTTGGTTAGTTTAAGGAGAATTGACTGACAGATTTCAGTGTTGAATCTTTCTATCAAAAAGCATAGTACTTTTTTTAAAGATTTTATTTTTCCTTTTCCCCCCCAAAGCCCCCTGGTACAGAGTTGTGTATTTTTAATTATGGGTCCTTCTAGTTGTGGCATGTGGGATGCTGCCTCAGCATGGCCTGACGAGCGGTGCCACGTCCATGCCCAGGATTTGAATCAGTGAAACCCTGGGCTGCTGCAGTGGAGCACACGAACTTAACCACTCGGCCACAGGGCCAGCCCCGAGCACAGTATGTTTTAAAAAGTATTTAAATATTTTTTAATGTCTAGAGATACTTAATACAAGAAGATGTATCAGTCATGAGTATTTACATACTGAAGAGCATTGCATTAAATTATACAAGGGAAAAATTAACAGTTAAACAAATCTTCTGTCTCATGGTAGAATTGATCACATCTTTCTCTGAATTTGGGAATCA